ATGCAGAGATGGCTTCCTGGAAGTCCACAGGCACCTACGTTGACGCTGTCCCCCCTCCTGGGGCGAACATCGTCAGTGGCATGTGGATCTTCAGGGTGAAGCGGCCGCCGGGTTCTCCGCCTGTCTTCAAGGCGCGTTACGTGGCTCGTGGCTTCAGTCAGCGGCAGGGAGTTGACTACTTTCAGACCTTCTCCCCCACCCCGAAGATGACCACTCTTCGGGTACTGCTGCACGTTGCTGCTCACCGTGACTACGAGCTGCACTCTCTTGACTTCAGCACAGCTTTCTTGCAGGGCAGCCTGCACGAGGAGATCTGGCTGCGTCGCCCACCTGGCTTCACTGGGTCTTTCCCTCCTGGTACCCAGTGGAGTCTCCGGCGTCCAGTCTACGGTCTCCGCCAGGCGCCACGTGAGTGGCACGACACACTGAGGACTACGCTTGCGGCTCTTGGGTTTGCTCCTTCTACTGCCGACCCGTCGCTGTTTCTACGCACCGACACCTCTCTGCCGCCGTTCTACATCCTCGTGTACGTCGACGACTTGGTCTTTGCCACAGCTGACACTGCTGGACTCGCCTACGTGAAGTCCGAGCTGCAGAAGAGACACACGTGCACAGACCTGGGTGAACTGCGCAGCTACCTTGGCTTGCAGATCACCCGGGACAGAGCACGCCGCACCATTACCCTGACTCAGTCACACATGGTGCAGCAGGTCCTTCAGCGCTTCGGCTTCACGTACTCCTCGCCTCAGGCCACTCCTCTGTCTACTCGCCACTCGCTCTCAGCTCTGCCTTCGGATGAGTCCGTAGAGTCGAGTGGCCCGTACCCAGAGCTTGTTGGCTGCCTCATGTACCTGATGACCTGCACACGACCTGACCTTGCATACCCTCTTAGCATTCTTGCACGCTATGTTGCTCCTGGGAGACACAGACCAGAGCACATGGCTGCAGCGAAGAGGGTGTTGCGCTACTTGTGCAGTACGTCGGACATGGGGCTAGTGCTTGGAGGGCGGAGTCCAGTGGTCCTCACTGGGCACGCGGACGCTTCTTGGGCTGACGACCAGGCTACGCAGCGGTCGTCACAGGGTTACACCTTCAGCCTTGGTTCCGGCTCTGTTTCGTGGCGGGCTACTCGCTCGTCTTCTGTACTTGGCTCGAGTTGTGAGGCTGAGATCTACGCCGGGGCCATGGCTGCACAGGAGCTTCGCTGGCTCACCTACCTGCTGACCGACCTTGGAGAGCCGCCTCGTTCTCCTCCAGTCCTGTATGTAGACAACAAGGCCATGCTGGCCTTGTGTCGAGAGCAGCGACTGGAGCACAGAACAAAGCACATTGCTCTCCGCTACTTCCTTGCTCGTGAGCTACAGCAACGTGGACAGTTGCGGCTTGCGTACGTGGCCTCTGAGGCCAACACTGCTGATGTCTTCACCAAGGCACTTCCGCCTTGTGATCATCAGCGCTTCTGCACTCAGCTGGGTCTTGTGCCCGTCTTGCCTCACTTGCTCTCCTCTTGACCTTGCTTGTACTCTCACATATATATATACCTGCTCTTGCTTGTCTAACTTTATATATATGTGTGTACTCTTGCATGTGAACTGGCCGTGTGGCCTTGACCCTGTGCTCGGACTGTGTGGTGACTTTGTGATCCACCCTGAGCTTGCTTTGCTTTGCTTTGCTTGACTGGTCTTGTGACCCCTTGTTCTCCCCCACTTTGCCTATGGGGGTGTGTCAGAACATTATAGCTTATGCTGTTGTGTAGGCTATAGTGGGGTATCCCATAGGGGGTACAACCAATTAGGGTTTCATATTTGTACTCACTTCATGTCATAGTCCACCCATTCTCTCGTTCTCATTGTTACATAGGCTACAGTGGGTTAGCCTTTAGGGGGTACACAACTCTAGGGTTTCATACTTGTACTCCAATGTTTCATAGTTCAATCACTTCTTGTTTCTGACACCTTCTCGTCCTCCTCATCCCTCCCACCTGGTTTAGTGCTACTCTAATTCTCTTGTGTGAACTTGTGAGACTCTTGTGATTGAGTTAAGATTCTATGACAGCATACCCCCTTGTGCGCCAAAATCAATAAGTCAAGATATACTTCACCTCTTGATACGATTCAACTTGGGAATTGTAGCTACGCTCTAGAGCTACAACATACCCAAAATTAGTGAAGCTTTGACGTGGCAATTTTTTGTCGACGACGTTTCTTGTGAGCGCGACGTTTCTGTTCAGAAATCTAAGCTAACGATTTTGAGAAATTTAGGCACCTAATCCTCGTAGACTCCGTCTTTAGTCTCTAACAAGTGGTATCAGAGCAGATTAAGGACGTTGTTAAGAGTCTAATGAGGTGTGAAGACCCTCCTAGGCCCACCATGGCCTGTGGGCGTGCCTAAGTGGAGTTCTGGAGGTAGCATGTGACTTCCGCTAAGGGGAAACTCTGCCGAAATTTCGTTGGCGCTGACACTTGTGAAGATTTTGTGGATCTACATTGTGACCAGCAAAGGGAGGAGCTGAAATTTGTGATTGGGAGCAGAGGAAATGAGTCAAGGGAGTGGAGATGCAGCTGAGAAGAGGAATGAGCCGCCACCATCCAAGATCGAGGCATTGGATGGCTCCAACTATGAGGAATGGAGCGGGCGGATGCGGAGTGCGTTTAAGCGCTACAAGCTGCTGAAACTTGCAATGGGTGAAGAGAAGATGCCGGAGGAAGGCGACGCCCGCGATCGGTGGATTGAGAAGAGTGCGGTGGTATACTAACTATGACGGCACTATCAAGCGTTCTAAGGCACGCTGGGTTGTACGCGGGTACGACCATCGCCACGTCATTGATTTCGATCAATCCTTTGCTCCTGTCAGCCGTCACACCTCCGTCAGGATTCTACTCGCCATTGCCGCCGCTAAGCATCTACCACTGCGAAGATCGACGTTAAGAATGCATTCTTATACGCGCTGGTGGATGCCACCATCTTTGTGGAGCAGCCACACACCTACGGAGAAGGAGACCCGAGGGTCTGTCAGCTGAAGAAATCTCTTTACGGGATAAAGCAGGCGCCGCGTCTCTGGCAACAGCACCTGCACAAAATCCTGCTAAAAAATTGCTTCACGCAGCTGCCGCACGACCCGGGAATGTACCGCCTACACTTCAACGGCGACTACATCCTCCTGGTCGTCTACGTCGATGACCTGCTCTACACCAGCACTTGCAACAAGCTTCTTAGCCAGTTCGAGGAGAACTTGGCGCAGCGCGTAGACATCACCATCAACCACAATGTCACACAGATTCTGGGGCTGAACAACACTTACGCGCCAGAACCAAATCAGCTGTCATCTTCCAAGTACGCAGAGCAGCTGGGACCCAATCCGCTTCAACATTTTGCTCGCACCGCTCTCAACTCCTTATCACAACCCCAGCGCCAACCACAAACCGAACCACAAACCTTTGTCGCCCACAGGACTCCAAGTGTACCAGCAGCAACTGGGGTGCCTGCTATTACATGCCGACCCGACCTTTCGTACATCGCCAGCCAATTGGCACAGTACTCTCGCACGCCAATAGCTGAGAACCAGCTGGACCTGGAGCGCACCCTGCAGTACTTCATTTCCACACCTGACATCGGGCTCTCCTACTCTACGCTAGCAACGACCTCCTTCAACCTCAGCGGCTACGTGGACGCAGATCATGCCACTGAACTTGCTAATCGACGGTCACGAATCGACCTTGCCGGAGTAGTCAAGCGAGTCGGCTTTCTGCGCACCCAGGAATAAAGGGGAGTGTTACGATGTGATACTTTATGAGAATGCATTCCTGTATGATGCAGAAGCCGACTGTACCGAATACGAAGTCGAGGAGTCAGAAGAGTTGAAGCGGCGCGGTAACTGTCTGACCAAGACCGATGCAGGCAGAATCATTTGAAGTGAAAAGAGCGGGAACAGGTTTGAAACGGGTTTCCGCGCCGCACGGTTTTGAACTCGCTGCAATAAGGGAATGTACCCCTTAGAGTACATGGCTAGTCTAGGTTGTTTTGTATTCCTTTGTACTTTCTATATAAACATGATATATGCATGTCATTATCAATCTCAGTCATTTACATTCACTCTGACTTGAGCTTCAAAATCTTCCGTTGCAATATTATCATGCGATCAACCCTGATCGATCCTTCGCTAAGTCCCGAATCGGATTGTAACAGTACGTAATCTCCTAATTGGTACGTCTCTGGGCGGCGGTGGCGGTCAGCATTTCTCTTAGCGGTGACGTTGGCTCTTTTTATTGCTTCTGCGGCTTTGGTTCGGGCAGATTGCAGAATCTCGACAAATTGTTGTGCGCATGGCGTTGGGTTGTTCGAGCTCGGCGTCATGGGCACTGTTGGATTTTGCCCGTAGTTCAGGTAAAACGGGGATTACTGCGTCGTCGCTAGACATAATGTGCATACTAGTTCTTATACTAGTATTCGTATAATGATATACTGCTGGAATTGCAACACCTGGCACGTGAAACAAATGCGTTTCATAGAATCAGAATAACATAAATGGTCTCATGATTGGTTTGATGGTCTTATTCAGGTCATTCCAACACCACGAAAACCGTGAAATTGGAATTAAATATTGGATGTCCAAGCAAAGTGTATGTGTGGCATTTGTATATTGTGTGTTAATGGATTCCGTTCGAGAAGTCCCGACTTGGTACACTCATCTGGTTTATTGATGTGGATACCCACATCGGAACCTCGCATCCCTGAAATTTTTCCCCGCATCCTGCCTATCTTGTGTATCAACATCCCTCACCTTATTCCTCCGCATGCGCCCTCCTTCTCCTCCGCTCCCTCGCACTGTCGGGACTGGGGGGGCGCAAGCCAAAAGCGCCAAGCAGCACAGCGACAGCAGAGGACAAGGACAGGAAGACACACCCACGCCCAGGATCAAAATCCCTTCACCACCTCACACACAGCTCTCTTTCGCTCCCTTCTTCCTCCTAGGGATTGGCGGTCCTTAGCCTTCCGCTACAATGGTAATGGCGCCTTAGCCTAGCCAAGTAGTCGTCGCTAGCTAGCTTAGGAGGTGATGCTTCGCGTAGTGCCGGTCTGCACCGTTGCGCTGCTTTTCCGTTCGTCCCTTCAATAATCCGTCGGCTTTGTCCCGCAGATCTCGTGAAGCTGTCGACGAAATTCGATATCAAGTGCCCCACTTCCCTCCTCCCCCTCTTCACCCTCCTCCTTCGCATTCTTTTGCAGGCGATAGCAAAGGCAACGAAGACCAAGGCCTACTTCAAGAGATACCAAGTCAAATACCGCAGAAGGAGAGGTCAGACAGCCGCCTCTCACGCGCTCTTCCTGTCTCACCCTCTCTCTTCTGTGACGAGTCTTCCCTTGACTACAAATACTTACTTTAGGATCGCCGACCGCTTATCCTATCTATAAGAGTCAACGGTTCCTTCGGCATATGACAGCGACGGAGCTGCTGATTGTACCACGTTGGATTATTAGTCAGCTGAACTTACTAACACGGTAGTGGGCTGTACGAGTCGATGTAGTTCTGGTCGGTGGGTGTTGAACACCGTGTACTAAGATTCTAGGGACGACCGTTGTGGAGCTAGCATGGCGAGTTAGGGTTTGGCTGCGAATGTCTTCCTCAATGGCTTGAGCAGGTGCCTCTCAACAGGGCAACGGTTTTGGGCGCTTTTAAGCTTTGTTTAGCACTTGCGCAGGGTGTTGCAGGATGCGTTATTTTGTTCTTTTAGACCTCCCCTTACAAAAGGCAAAAACGTAATTTGCATTTTCTCGTAACTTAACTCCGTCGGTGATTTGCTCTGTGCCTTTGTTGTCTTCCCTGACTGCTATGTGCGCAGCGGGGAAGACTGACTACCGCGCGCGCCTGCGCCTGGTGACCCAGGACAAGAACAAGTACAACACCCCCAAGTACCGCTTCGTTGTCCGCTTCGTAAGTAAATGTCTTTTCTCACGCATCCCGTGAATGGAATGTACCGTTGACGGACTTTGATCCGCGCAACTTCACTTGTGATCAATAATTGGAGTAACGCAGAGACATGCTGTGATGCTGTAATGGTCGTGTCTTTCTCTGATTTTCGTTTGAAGAGTCCTATGCGCAACGATCCCCACTTCCTCCCTCACAATTTTGCGTTCTTCGTCTGCCTTCCCTGCTCGCCCCTTGTCTGACGTGACATGATTGCGTGGTGTGCACGCTGTGGTTTCGTACGTGGTTCTACGTGTGGAGTGGCATGGCGTTGTGCGAGTTGGCGTTTTGTGGAGTCGTGTGGGGTGGCGTGGTATGGCGGTGTGTGGTGTGGCGTGGTGTGGCGTGCGTTTGGGCTGTGTGTGTGGGGAGCAGACGCGCAAGGACATCATCACGCAGGTCACCTATGCCACCATGGCGGGAGACGTCGTCGTGTGCGCCGCCTACGCGCACGAGCTGCCCCGCTACGGTCTCAAGGCCGGCCTCACCAACTACGCCGCTGGTACCGTCCCATTCACCAACCCCCTTCTTCCCCCGTTAACCCGCTTTCCTCTCTTTGCCTCCCCGCCTCACCTACGTAACTTCTGTTCGTTTTCTTTAGTTTCCCTGCCTTCCGTTGCATTTCCTAATCTTGCTGGGATGACCCGCTGCTTGCTATGTCGTCGTTGTCACCAGCACTTACAACCGCAGCTCCGTTCTTAATCCCTTTTATCTCGCTCTCATCTCGTCTCCTCACCCACCCATCCTCCTTGCGCCTCCCTTTCCTGGGGCGTGGCGCAGCGTACTGCACGGGGCTGCTGTGCGCGCGCAGGATGTTGCAGAAGTTCGGCATGGACAAGGAGTACGAGGGCAGCACCGAGGTACGCGCGCACAACTACGCCCTCCCTGCGGCATTGCCGCCTCGGAGGAAGAGGGGGGTAGGGGGAGGGGGGGAGTGAAGAAAGCTTTTAGGGTAGGGGATTGGGAGGTTGAGCGGTGGGGCGTGGGTAGTCCAGATGGGTGTTGATTGGTTGGAACTCCTAGGGTTTCTTTTTTCGAGGGGCCTTCATAAGTGGTTTCTTTCTTGGGTAGTAAGGGACTCTCTGCACCGTGCTTGTTGGCTTGTGGTGCGGTAGATGGGTTACGGTGGTTCCAGCTCTCACGTGCGTGTTTTGATCACGCCTCGACCGCGCGCCTGTGCCCTTCCCCCAGTTTTGAAACTCATTTGCATGGGCGTGCATGCGTGCGTGCGTGGTGCGCGGGGCGTGGGGGTGGCAGGTGACGGGCGAGGACTACAACGTGGAGCAGGGCGAGGGCCGTGCCCCCTTCAAGGCGCTGCTGGACGTGGGCCTCGTGCGCACCACCACGGGCAACCGCGTCTTCGGCGCCCTCAAGGTCACTACCTCTTCCCTGCTCCATCTCCCTCACCCCGTTGCTCGTGTTCTTACTTTTCGGAGCGTAGAATCTAGAGATGGTGTGTCCGTTGTGCTTGTGACATACCACACGAATCGTGCATGCTCTCTCTCCCATTCTTCCCCACCTCACGCCCTCATTCCCCCCTTATCGTTCTCCCTCGCTCGCCCTCGTCCCACGTCGCCCGCCTGGTCTCACCAGGGAGCTTGCGACGGCGGCATGGAGATCCCGCACAGCGACAAGCGCTTCCCCGGGTTCATGAACGACGGCAAGGGCGGGTCTGCCAGCCTGGACGCCGAGGTGCACCGCAAGTACATCTTCGGCGGACACGTCGGCGAGTACATGGAGGTCCGTGCCCCGCCTGCCGCCGCTGCTGCTGCTGTTTGTGTTTGTGCTTCTTGTTGGTGGTTGTTCAGTCAGGAAATATTGCCTGTCGTCCTGTTGGTTGTTTGGGAAAAAGGGCCTGACCCTGGTTTTGCCACGTGGTGCTTGTGAATGTGTGGGGTGGCGGTGTGGCATGGCAGATGCTGGAGGAGGAGGAGCCGGAGAAGTACCAGTCGCACTTCGCCAAGTTCCTGGGCGAGGGAGTGGACGCGAGTGGGCTGGAGGAGATGTACAAGGGCGTGCACGCGGCCATCCGTGCTGACCCCGCCGCCAAGCTCACCGAGAAGAAGCTGCCTGCTGAGAAGCGCAGGTATGCTGCCCTGCCTCCTTGCATGCGCCCACGCTTGCTCCCGCATGGCTCCCGGGCTTCAAGCTCCTGCTTTCGATTTGTTTGTAGCTGGCTTCGTTTTGCTTATGGTAGTTGTTTTTGTGCAAGGTTCTCACTGTTTGTTGGTGGGTGTTGTTTCCCATTGCCTCGCGTGTGGGTGAGAGCAGCTGGAAGATGAAGAAGCTGACGTACGAGCAGAGGAAGGCCAACCTGGTGCAGCGCCTGGAGGCATTCAACAAGGGCGACGAGGAGTAGATGCTGCTCATGCTGCTGTGCTCTTGCGCTCAAAAGGGTGATAATGAGATTGTTGAGGATGATAAGCCTGGATATGGTTGTTGTGTTGAACCATGCATGATAGCATTCTCTTCAACTACGAGCCTTGTCCCTGGCCACCAGTGCTGTGCTGCACTCTATCCAGTCTCCTGTTCAAAGAACTCTCTAATTCATGCCTTACCAGGTGTCCTGGTATGAGTGAAAGTAGAAAGTAAAGCAGGGACACCCCAGACATAGTTAACAGGCTTGAGAGCTAGCAATATCTCTCCGCCAAGGGTCAAAATATCTCACGCTCATCGTCCTTGTGGGGATGAGCAGGTTGGACGAGGTATCTCAAGAGAGTTAGGTTACGAGATGTATTCAAGTGAATCAAGCGAAATCTTTAGCGAGACGTTACATATTGGGGACATTTTCCGTGTCCTTATGCCTGTTCCCAGGTTATAGCCAGCAAAAAGAAACAATTAGTATGTCAAGATATTCACAACTAACGCAAGTTGCGTACTCGGAAGTCCGTCTATATAGCCCCCTTGTTAACAGCGATCCTGCTACCGTTCCTCCGATCCTGTTCTCATACCTCCGCTCCTCCAATCGGCCTCCCGGTCCGCTGCGCCGTTACAAGGCCCACGGTGCCGTTCCGCTAGCTACCAGCAGCGCCAGCAGCAGCAGCCGCAGGAACAGCAGCGGGTGCGCAGCAGGGGCTTGGCATGGCGGCGGCAGCGGAGGACGCGTTGAAGCTGTTCGTGGGGCAGGTGCCCAAGACGTTCACCGCGGACGACCTCACGCACGTGCTCGCCGAGGCGGGCACGGTCTGTGACGTCACCATCGTCAAGGATCGTGTCACTAAAGAGTCGCGCGGTGAGTCGTGCTGCCGCGGGTCGCGCGGTTCGCAGATCTTAAGCCGGGTAATCGTCGCGTTCCGTCTCAGCATCTGCCGTGTTCGTCGCTAGGGTTTCACGGAGTCGCGATCGTCGATTCTTTCGCATACCGAACGTATCCGCTCGCCATGCCATCTCGTATCCCGCCGTTTGTCCCTCGCGCACACCCCTCCCCCTTCCCATTAACACCCCTCGCCTTTTCTCCCTCCCCCTCCTCTCCCAAATCCCCTGGTCCCTTCCCTCCGCACTTTTCCGCCCAGGCTGCGCGTTCGTACTCTACTCGACGCGCGCGGAGGCGGACGCCGCCATCGCGCTGTTCCACAACATCCGCAAGCTGCCGGGGGTGAGTGCGTCGCGCAGCGGGGGAAGGGGGAAACGGGCCGAGGGATGCGCGCTGCCAGGGTGGAGTGGTACGTGGGTCGCTGAGGGGAGGTTTTCTCACGGCTGTTGTGCAGCAGGTGGTGCGGGCAAGGTTCGCGTGAGAAGTGCGACTGTTGAGAGACACACGCCTCCCGCCTCTCCCGCGCACATACAACCCTCCTCAACCCCTCTTCCGTAATCCCCCCTCCTCCCCCACACCCGCCCTTTCTCCTCCTCCCCCTTCCCCCTCTCCTCTCCCGTTTTCTTCCCACCGCATGCGCACGTCTCACCGCGTGTGCCTTGCCCGTGGTGCCGCCACTGGTGATTTGTGCGCGGTGGTGGAACGGGCAGGCGAAGACTGCGATGCAAGTGAAGTACGCCGACGGCCAGGAGCACAAAATAGGTGCGCGCTCGCCGTCGCCC